CTCTCTCTCTCTCTCTCTCTCTCTCTCTCTCTGTCTCTATCGGGGCCTACACGCCTACAGCTATTTGTTTACGTGTAAAGCACCAGAAGCTTATATATACACATTTAAGTTGTTCGTGCCCCGCACCACTTTTGTAGCCTACATGTAAGACACCAGCCTTTAATTTTGGAAGGGGACTCCGTTAAATGGTCAAAATGAAAAAAACAATTAGACAAACAGGAACTTCGAGAGGTGAGATACGTTAGAAACAACCAGCAAATTAAACTTAATAGGTATAAAAGTCAGTATTTTCAGTGCTCTGGCCAGTGTTGGGCAAGTTACTTAAAAAAAGTAAATAGTAATAGTTATAGTTACTGCTCTCAAAAAAGTAACTAGTTACTTTATTAGTTACTAAATTATAAAAGTAACTAGTAACAAGTTACTTTACTTTACTCTAAAAATAATAACAATAAAAATACAAGTTTTTTTTTTTTTTTTTGCTGACTAGTTCTCTGAAGGCAACAGACTCGACCGTTGCGATGGGCAGCATGTCCTCAACAACATACCTGGCATTGGCAATCAATCTGTTTAGTTGACTGGGTGACATGTGGCGATTTTAAAAAATCGTTTTTTTGGCTGTTTAGATGGTGTTGCTCCATCTGGGTCACTGCCGGTGGTTGAGATGGTGGGTTCTTTGGCGACTAGTTTTATAGCCCCATGTACATTACTTAGGTGCTTCAGGAGATTGGCATTGCTGTTTTTCAATGTGGACAATGCTTTCTGTCCTGCACAGAGTTTACATTTGACCGTAATATTTTGTGCGTCCTTTATCCCTACAAATTGAAAATAGTGGTTATATTTCCAAGTTGCAAATGCGCTGCTGCTCTCGCTGATACTTGCATCTGCCATTGTGTGTGTGTGTGCTGGTGGTGAGCGTTGCCGTGTGTGTGTGCATTAGCAAGTGTTCGTGTGTGTATTTTCCCCATAAAGCAAGACCCGCCCAACTCTGTCTCTGATTGGCCTACCCTGAAATGTTACCCCGTGTTAACCAATCATCACTCCACTCTGGTTACTTTCACTTTTCCATGGTGCTATGAGAGGACATCGCTGTATTCGCTTGTAAATTACATCCGCAGGGAGATTCGGTTCAGTTCCATCACATAATGTAACGCAGTAACGCACCCATCTAAATCACAGTAACTATAACGGCGTTACTTAATGAGAATAGGTAACTAGTAACGCTATTAGTTACCGCAAAAAGTAGTTGCGTTACAGTTAACGAGTTACTTTGTAACGCGTTAGTCCCAACACTGGCTCTGGCCAAGTTGTAAAAAGAGCTGAATTTGTTCCCTCATTGCATCTTAAGTCTCCCGGTTCTGTCTACCACCACCTCTGGCCCCTGACTAATGCACTCTACAGTATATCCACAGTATTAATCCAAGTATCATTGTCAATGTCCCCCAACAGGAGCTGTTGAGTCTGGAGAACAACATGAGGGAGCTGAGGGACCTGTTTATGGACATTTTCATGTTGGTGGAGGAACAAGGCTCCTACATTGAGCACATCCAGACCAATGTGGAGAGGTCTCAGGATTATGTGGCTGCATCTAATTAAAAATTCAAGATGGCTGCCAGATACAAGAAGAATAACCCACTGCGACAGCTGTGCTGCTGTTGCTGCCCTCCCTGGAGATGTTGCTTATAAACATGTGTTTACCTCAACGTTCTTTCCGAGTAACATTTTATATTAGAAGTCTCACTTACTTGTTGGGAATAAGGAACTCTGGATTCAAGTACCATTAAAGTGAAGGTTATTATGGCTCTGTAGTTTTGCTGTTGAACAGTGTGAAGGTGAAGATAGATTCAGCGGAGCATGGAAAACAATTAGGGTGAAAGCCAGAATTGGTATTTGAAGTACTTGTTTCTTTCAAGAGGATGTGAGACGACTGCTTTTGGTAGAGACAGTTCAGTTAGTGCTGCTCACCAACACTGCTGCTTATTGGAGACCTTCACTGTCATCTGACAGAGGTCACAAACAAGCCGAGACCACTGCCTCTCACTGCTGGATCAGCAAGACCCAAGACAAGACGTCAAGACTTCTACCAATGAGCCTCTTAGCTTTCCTCTGTCACAGGACCACATGTGACCATTTATTTTAGTATACATTATGTGCACTTTAAGACTTATCTATTTTTTTAATCTAAATGTAAAATGTACCCTTGTGGGAAAAGATACTTTCTTAAACGTGTCGATTCTTATCTATTAATTTCCTTCTTGGTCCACATGGTGGTTAAATAGACCACTTGTTTCACAATTAGTCACTATTCTAATTTGCATTTCAAAGTATGGTAATTTTGGGTGAATTTTTTTAAATTATTTTATTCAACTTCACAGAGGCGGGATTCAAGTAAAATGTTGAATAACGACGAGCCATGATCAAAATATTTACGCCGTGGTGACAAACTGCAGAATATCATTGAAGTCGTAAGTTGAAAAATAAGATTGAAGTTTATTATTGGAGGAAATATTTCCTTTCCCTAGATGTTTTTTTTATTTGGGATATGGTGAAACTTACATTTTTCCGATGAAAAATGCTGGCATCTATTTGTATAATAGTTTTGATTATTATTAAAATTATAATGACGCTAAAAAAGAAAGAAGTGGCTGTTAAGCAGGAGAAGGGCTCTCACCTAGATATCCAGCAGAATGGATTTGAACAGATCAGCACACTCACACCTGTTAACTGGTTATAGTGAAATTGTTCACGCTTTACTTCATGCAGAGTAGAAATTACTGTCATATTTTCCTGGAGGGTGTTGCGACTAAGATATTAACAGTCACTAATTAATTTCAGGAGACTTTATGCTTTTTCTCACGTACCAGCAGAATGGCTCTTAACTAGCCTCTCATCAGCAGTGAGATTCTTTAGTGACTCAATGACCCATGGTGTCTGGTGTCCAGGACAAAATAAAGGTGAGATACAGATGTAGCCTGGAAAATCCGGTTTGTCCGCTTTTCCAGAATAGCTCAGGCTACTGAATGTTCCTGTAGGGAAGGGTGAGTAAACACAACCATTAACTGTAGAGAAAACAAATAATGTCCTTTTCAAATAAAAATGCTTCTTAGCTTAAGAAAACATTTAAAGTAAATATGCGTTTAGACTTTTGCTGTGCCACAAAATGTAGTCGCCCTAAACAAGGAATAAACAACTCATGTGAAACACTACCTATGATGTGTTTTATTTAACTAGTATTTCCTATGATGCCTCAGGAGTAAAGTGAGTTGTTTGATGGCTTCTGCTGTCTTAAAACACATTTTCCTAAATCTAAACATCTTTGTTATCATCAGTCTTGCTCAGATTCAAATTACATTTTTTAACCAAGACATAAAAACAGGAAGTCATTCTATGTTCATTAACTAGGAATACACTATGTTGCAGCACATCACGGTTTCTCCCTCCTCACAGATTTAGTGAGGACAAATGAAGCGCAGCTGCAAATTGAGGGTTTCTTGAACAGCAACAATGCCATCCAGTGTTCACCAAGATAATTGCCGGTTAGGAAATAGGTTATCTATTAATGTTTAATCTGTGAAAAGCAACCATAGGCATGTTTGCAACGCATAAGATGTGAAATTACCCCCACACAGTTTCAGAATGAAAATATAGATATTGTAGTGGCGGGGTCAGTGCTGTTGAGCCATTATAAATAGCTTGTGGTGGCCATTACTCAAAACAAGTACTTGCCTTTTTGTGGCAACATAACTCCTGCTCCACAAAAATACAAATTGCAGGATGGACTGTTTTTTCTTTATTATGCCTCAGGGTGAATGTATTACAGGCTGAGCTGTCATAACCCAAACATGTGGAGCATATTCAAAGCCACAATAAAATAAAAAGTGGGAACAATTCAAAACATTTATCTGGACTTTTTCCAAAAACCCCATGAGGGACCTGAAAGAAAGCTACTGGGGTTTATATAGGTTGTCCATGAGAACACAAGGCCATGGGAGACTGCACAGTGGCAGATCAGAAACCTGCGGACATCTGACCCCAAACTCTCTCGCTCTCTCTCTGTGAGGGAGGGTTAGTAGGCTGCTCTTTTCAGCAACTCCCTGCTTCACATTCAAACAGTCGCACACTCTGGGAGCTGCCCTGTACAGCTACCGTTATCTAATGTTTAAAGATTCCTCTGTGGATTTATCTTGTTTACCTGCCGGCTCTGAAGTTGTTGACCAATATTTCTTTTTGAAACCACCTCGCATGAAGCCAATGAGTAGTTTGTTCCTCTTCCATGCCCCAACCATATTTAACCTCTGACTTTCAGACCATTATTGAGTTTCAACTAGCTGCACCACCATCTGTGCACAGGCAGAAATACAGAAGACCTGTTCCTAGATGAAAGATTCCTGACTACCAAGCATCATTGTTATATTTCTGACACAGTTTACATATTTCATTTTAACATGGCCAGGATAAGTCTATCATAAAATACGATGTCACGTTCATTTTTAAACATCTAAATACAATAAAAAACATTTTTACAACGGGATTATGCTGATGCAGGAGAAGGTAAGATTAATGCAGCTTTGAATTATGGCTGAAACTAGATAAGTCACATTTATATCCCTATGTTTGATGCTCCACATTCAATAATATAACCACATCATCACATATCAGTGCAAGTGCCTCTGCCCACTCTCTATACAAAGCCCATAAATCACTTTGGATTTAACGATAATGTGAACATCTCAGATATATGAGAGTTTACAGCGCTGATCATTGCCGACAGAGATACAGTGACTTGTACTGTACTTATTTCTCCTGCTGTATCTGCCCTGTCCGCCACAACGAGTATCCCAGAGACAATCTCCAAATCTCGGAACAACATCAAAGCAGCCCTCCTGTGAGTAACACCAGCTGTGTTTATAGAGAGCTGACATTACTTTATTGCCTGGTTTTATCACTCCCATCAAAATGTGAACAGAGAGATATCAGGACCCTCAGAATGTAATAAATCACAGAGACCCTGAACAATGAGTCTGACAGTTGCAGTAGCAGCTACAAAGCCAGCAGAGAGTACAATGGCAGCATTGATTCTTAAAGGTCCCATGTCATGCTTTTCCGGTTATTACCCGTCCCCTTGTGTGTTATGAAGGTTTTTATGCATGTAAACGGTCTGCAGCGTCAAAACCCCTCAAAGTACACCCTGTAGGGAGTAAAACTCTGACACAGAAAAGACCTCCCCAAAACGCCTCGTTGGAGATTTCTCATTTACTTCCTGGGTATCGCTACGTAGGGATACCCAGTGGCAACGCCCAGAGCTATGGCTGCACCCTCTGCCAGCCTTTCACGAAACAAAGCTTCCCAAACCTTTCAGCGATTCATGCCGGATATGTGCAGCATAGGGCACTGAAGAACGATGCTCTTCCTACTTTGTTTGGACCAGCGGGAGATTCGGGTACACAACCTGTAAGTATTCATTGTTGTTTGTGTATTTATGATGTTTAAAACAAACAAGGTATCTACCACGACTGTTTAAATGGGTAAACGTTTTTCGGACCGCTAAATTGGGATCGCGGAGAAATACTCTCCGCAGATGCATTCTCACAGCGTTATAAACCTTTTTCTTAGTCAATATCAAGCCACACTTATTGTTTTTATTTCGGCTGTGAGTGTTTGTGTGTGCTCAGGATGAGTTTCGCTTGTTCTTGCTGTATTTGTTTCGCCGACACGGAAGCCCTGTCTGCTCCTCACAGCAGCTTCTCACGAGCAGCTGCACATCGCTTGACCAATCAGAGCACACTGTGAGGGGGGGGGCGAGCTCCAACAAGCCGTTTAGGACAGGGAGTGAATACCGGTGAATACACATACTTTACAGAGATCCTGTATGAGAAACCAATGTGAGTTTGGAAAATTGCACAGTATAAATCTATTTTAGTATACCTCAACTATGGAATTATGATCAGTAGAAATGGCCGTGACATGGGACCTTTAAGTCTTGGATTTACACAATGTTAATAGACTAGAAAAACAATAGAGTTTATTTCAGCCTCTTATAGATGATGTTTTATGCTGGCAGGGGAGATAAGTACCTAATTTAATGGGCTTTTATTATTATTATTAAAACGTATTACTTTTAATTAAAGGGGACACTATTTGGAGATTCCATTGTTTTCTTTCTAAACATTGTGACATCACTTTGTAACACTCGTTGTGGAAGTTTGACTTGCTTTTTTATTTTTTTAGGGTGCCAGTCAGGTCTCTCTCCTGACATTTAAGATGTTGATAATCACAGTCAGTTTTAGTAAGTCTGTACTGCACAAAGGTGTATACATCTCACTGCAAACACCCAACATTGAATGACATTAGAAAAATAATTAAAGACACAACTAGAAATGATAATCATAAACCGCAAGTGTATTTCGAACACCCCACAAACAATTAAACAATCCTTCTTCCCACAGTTCACTTTTGAATCCAAAACGTTCCACTTCGGTTTTCTTCAAAATAAATAAAACAGTCAATTTACCACGGCAGAATGTCAGTCATTTTAGGCAATCCAGCCGGTTTGGGAAATCCAGTCCTGGTTTTCAAAGTGGTTGGGAGATGACCGGCTCCTTTCAGATTTGTATGTTTATGTTTATGTTTATGTTTATTAAGCATCCCCATTAGCTTTTGCTCTCTACAAAAGCTACCCTTCCTGGGGTCCGACACTTAAAACAATACAACAATAATACAACAATAATACAGCAACATTTAGGACATAAGTCCTGACATCATTAACAACATTAAAAACATTACCAATATCATCAACAACATGCGATCAAATTCAATTAGGGTTCAAAGCTCACAAGGGTACATGGTCATTAGTAGATGGCCCTTTAATCTCTTCTTGAAAGAGGCTCTGGACTCTATTTCAGCAAGGTAGTTAGGCAATAAGTTCCATTCCTTTATAGCTCTATAAGACACAGAAGATTTCAGAAGATTTGTCCTGGGTTTAGGTGCCAGTAGATGGCCTGATGTAGCTTGTCTAGTCTTATGGTCATGCTCGTCTCTTGTGTAAACTATTTGATCCTAAAAATACAGCGTTTTTTTGCTAAATTGGAAATTTTTTAGAAAAGTGATAACACGAGATTGTAGACGTTTCTCAACCGGAAGCCATGATAGGTTTCTATGTTTCCAATATGAGTGCGCTTCGAACAGTGGAGAGCTAGTCTGGCAGCCTTGTTTTGAGCTATTTGTAATTTCTGTAAATGTGCTTTTGCTGCTGATGACCATATGACCGGACAGTACTCAAGATGTAAACACTAATCCGGAAACGTGAAGCGACAGAAGGGTAAAATGACGGTGGACGGCGGATCAGACAAAACGGCAACACAGACTTTAAACAACCTTACTGTTGGTTTCTTAAGGCCCTGACACACCTAGCAGTCACCAGAGAACTCGCCGAAGCCGACGCCGACTGTTGCGTTGGCGTGTTCTCCTCCGTCTTGGCCAGGTGTCGCACTGGAACACACCGCAAAGACTTCAGCTGAGCACGTACAAACTGCGCATGCGGTAGTGTGTATTCGTCATTCAAAAGAGGCAACAACCGGAAGACAGAGAAGAAGAACAGACGATACAAACAAAAAACAAATAGGGTGTGCGTTCCATTTTCACTCTCTGGAGCTATCAGCCATTGGAGTGTTGCTTGTGGAAGACATTCTCAAGCAACCGTTTCGCTTCTCATGCACTGATTCGCTAGCTGAACAGCCAATCAGAGTGATTTCTTTGTCCGACTCCCTGCGTTGGCCATGAAAGGCCAAATAAGGCGTGTCACGGCCGACAGTGCGGAACACACCAAATTGAGTTTGGGCGACAGGGCACACTTCGTCGTCCGACTAACGAAAACGGCCGATTTCGGCCTGGTGTGTCAGGGCCACGGATGAGCGTGTTGCTTCGACGATCTCTCTTGCTGCACACACACGCTCCCCTTCCTGCTCCGTCTAAATATATAGGGAGAATTGAATGGAGGCGCCAACCAACAGCGAATCACTTGCTGGGTGGGCGTTACCGTGAGTGACTACCGGTGTTTACATTTCTGGTTGTTACATCGTGCGTCTCTTGGCTAGTCCTCATACACATCGTATGGTGGGACATCTCTAAGTGGTTGACCAATCACAACAAAGCTGGCCAGCTATCCAATCAGAGCAGACTGTGCTCTGTTTTCAGACAGAGGGTGAAAAGAGGTGCTGCAGCACAGGCAGTATGAGAAAATTAAAGCACCTCTGAAAATGGACATTTGTCCTCTTTAAGTTTGTTTTGCTTTAGGTCACGAGTACTGTACTTTGAATTCCAGTCGCCAAGGAGTTAAAACAAACGTCACATGAATAAGACATGAAAACTATAGAATGGAACAGGAGAAAATATATCGGCAGATGCAGCAAAGGAAAAGCTGTTGTTTCTTGAGGGTAGATCTCTAGAGAAACAAAGTTTAACAATATGTGACTAGAACTTTATTCAGCTCAAAGACAAGCTCAAGTGGACTGGCTATATCATTCTTTGAAAATGAACAAGCAGAGGAAAACTTCTCTCAAGACTCATGACGTTTGGATAGAGCAAGTTATTGAATCAAATAATGTTGATTCTGCAAGGCCATTTTAATAAATGGCTTAATTAAGCTTTTCAACCCTCCGTGTAGTCTATGAACTGAGTGCCGTATAATAAATGTATTATTTTCTTACATAAAGGGTCATGTTGCTGATGTTGTCCCACTAGCATATACAGTACCTTGACATTTAAGTGTGCTTTTATAAATAGTCTAATGTGTTCTTGAAATTAAGTCATCATCATCGTAATAAAAAAGTAAAAAAATCAAGTAAGCTACCCACAATAAATAATCAGATTCTGCT